ACTGTGGATGGCTTGTGAACCACCTGACCTCCTCCTTTAACCCCTTAATCACATCGACTGTATCCTTAACCTTGCACTTCGACTGAATCTTGCAAGTCTTCAGGTACTCTGTGCTCTTGAAGTACAATTCAAGAGGCTGTGGTGGTTGCCTTTCCTGCAATCAAAATATATATATGTATTAGTCATTTCTTACTAATAAGAATAGTAAAATAAATGATTAAAATGAATGCAAAAATTACCTTGGAGGACACATCAGACATGTCTTCACTTTCAGTATCAAGTGAGAGCGAAACTACAGTCTTATCTCTCACTGGGGCACTCTCTTGCTGGACTGCCACTTCTTTGGCCGGCTCATTTCCATCTGACACCGCTTTTCTAGCTCTAGTTCTGCTGGAGACTCCACCTCCAGTAGATGGACGTCTCCTTTTTTGGCCCTGTGTTTTCTGATACACAACATTGACACTTAATTAACCATAACCAATACACACCAAGCAGTGACAATTTATTACTAAAACCAAATGAATAATATACCTTAGAGGGGTGTTCAGGCAGATCATCACTAGTGTCCCTGTCTGATAGCTCTTGCACATTCTCTTCAACAACAGGGGTATCAGATTTTCGAGCTCTCGGAGATCTCTCAGTTTTCTTTTTAGTTTTTCTTCCACCTTTACCTGCCATTAGCTCGTTCCTCTGAACATCCAGAAACAACAACAGACATTTAGGCACAACCCATAATTATAAATTTCAAACAATTCATTCACTCAATAAATCACCAACTCTCTTTCAATTTACATTCAAAGAGTCAATCAACATTTCGGTTTTATATCCAATAAGAAAATACCCACAATTTTTATATATGTTTCTGTTCAAACCAGTAACCCTAATAGAAGTGGCAAGTTATCCCCAAATTGGGATGCAAACAATTTTCAATATGCATCCAAACAATTTTTATATATGTTTCTGAAACAAAATCGCAAGTTATCCCCAAATTTATTTTTCAAATCGACTAACAAAACAACCTAATAACAACCAAACAAAGGGAAACTAATCACTTACCAGAAGAAACGGAGATGGAGACTCGATTCGACGGAGAAGGGAGGAGAAGGAAACAGAAACGAAGCGGTTCTCAACCCTAGGGTTATGTTTAATTTTCGAACAAAGACAAAGAGAGAGTTAAGACACGAGAACTCCGAAATAAGAGGGAGAGATTGATGGATTCTTGAATTCGATGGAGGACGAACGCAAGCGACGGAGGCTAGGGTTTCAGAATCGCCTGAGATGGAGATGAGTTTGTCGAGAGGGAGAGAGAGGAGAAGGGGAGAAGGAGAGTCGGGAGTGTTTTGGTTTAAGTCAAAACGCAGTGCTTTGATTTAGGAATCGGGTTGTGCCCGATTGGGTTTGGGTGGGTAGGATATCTGCGGTTGGGTCTGTAATTACTTGATTTTCTTAGGGTTTCATATGTATTTGTCTTGTTTTTGTATTTAAAAAAAAAAAAAAAAAATAGATATTTTATTAGTGGGAGAATTGAGATTTTTTTATGAGTGAGAGGAGTATTTGGGGTTATTCTCCAATTAAAACAGGTGATTCCCAAATGTAGCGAATACTTTAAACTACTTTAATGTGATATAAATATGTATGGCTAACACTAATGTGTTATGCTTTTATGACAATATTAATGCAATGAGTGATTAACAAGCTATATCAACGACTAAAATTTACTCATACTTGGTCAGCATTCTTGAGATATATTGATCTCCCTGCTCATACAATAATCAAACCTGCAGGTTTGAGAACTTTTTCATAAATAAGATAAACCTCCTTTTCATGAGCATGACTAGCCTTCACTTAACTGATAGTGAAAATGATACTGAGGCATGCAACTCCTTCAACTGTTTGGCTGATGCAAATTTGAATATTGATCTTTCAAAGGGCATTTTCAAGTTCTACTTTAAACCTTTTTTCTTCTTCCAGTGGGTTTCCTCCTTAATTCCTTATGCATGGAGAGACTCAATCATACAATTCTTTTTTTTTTCAGTTACACAATTATATGTCAGTAAAATATGTTTTTTTACATGATACATAACTAAATTTAAATGATTCAAAGAAACGTCATTGTTCGAAATATGGCTTTTACCTTGCACAATATCTTTTGGAGTTTTTATCACCCGGACAGCTATTGCGTTAATTTTTTCAGAGACTCAAAAAATTTATTTGCTGACCATGTAATTACCATTTGGTCATTCTTTGTGGTTTGGCATCATTCGCACGATATTACGATCTTCTTGATATATCTATCACATATCCTTTGACTACTTCAATTTTTGTACGCTTGACTCTGAATAATATGGAGACTACTATTTACTCATTCTTACTAGGGATTAGTGGTGTTACGCAAGAGACAAATAGAATTATAGGTTTGCAAATTATAGCATAATCGAGAACATATGAAGAGTTATTTGTTACATAAATGAACTTATTTAGCAAAAAGAAAAAAAAATATAATGAACTTGTTAATTGTTATAGCGGAAAATATTCGCATTGCACAGTTTTCATTCGCTTTTCTAACCACCAAGCAAGAAGGAAAATATTCAAATCATGGCAATTAGGTCACACTTAAACACACACCCATCCCTTTGCCCTGGCCCCTCGAGGTAAATACAGCTCTTTTAATAGTTTCTTATTAGATGGATTTAGTGAACTACCTATATTTGAAGCTCAAATTAGCAAAATACCATTGATTAGACATGAATGACACTGACACAACCATTTGGCAAGGAAATGCCGAGAATGCCCTTTCTCTTTCCTCTCATTAACACGAAGTGTAAAAACATTTGTTAACATATAACACTTATGTTAACGTCTATAATATTTGTTAACAGCCAACACATTTATTACCGCGAAGCGTAAAAATAATTGTTAACAGTTAACACTTCTGTTAACGTCTATAATATTTGTTAACAACGAACACATTTATTAACGCGAAGCGTAAAAATAATTGTTAACACCTAACACTTCTGTTAACGTCTACAATATTTGTTAACCGCTAACACGACGTCGAATCTAAAACCCAGAAAATTGATATCATCAAAAAATTGAGGATTCAAAGCCACTTATGAAAAAAATAATGAAGTTTAAAATTTAATTGTATATAGAATGATAGAGATTTGTAAAATAATTAGGGATTGGAGAGAAAAAAGGTCAAAATTGAGGATTCAAAGCCACTTATGAAAAAATAATGAAATTTAAAATTTAATTGTATATAGAATGATAGAGATTTGTAAAATAATTAGGGACTGAAGAGAAAAAAAAAGAGGGGAGATGTCAAAGAGAGGAGAGAGAGTGTAGAGAAAGGCAAAATGGTCCAAAGGAAAGTGATTATCACAGGTAATTCTCTAATTATAGATGCCAAATAAGGCACTTTAACCGATTATCTCTTCTTATTAAACACCCACGAACCGATTCTCGATGTGTTCACATGTGTATGTGTATATAAATATCTCTATATTATAAGCATATATGTATGTCCCGTGCGATGAATTCTTGGGCACCAGTCGACTAATCTAGAGCATCGTTGTTGTGGGGCATGAAAATTCTGACATTGTGCTTGACTTGTCTAGAATACTATGCCCCCATTCATTATCCTTTTTCATGTAGTACCAATCAGACAATGAAATAGGACAGAAGCCTAATAATTGTTTCCTCCAGTCCAAAGTTATGGGTGCCACGTGAATATATTTTGTAATTTTTCTTATTTTGACTTTTTACCTGTAATGCTTTCAGATTTCTCTGATTACATTTACATTATATATATTTTTTTAAAGAACTAGAACCAGTGTCGGCCGCAATGGAAATGAAAAAAGAAATATTTATAGAGGCCATAATCTTACTTTTATCAGAAAAAGGAATATCTCATCATAAAATTTTCATGAAAAACCTCTAAAATGCCAGGTACTTCCATTTCAATACTTCCATAATAAATTTGAAAGTTTAAAGTGGAAGTAATTGTCAATTTGCAGATTTTTCCATGGGATTTCCCCCAATTTAAGAAAATTACTAGTGCTTCCACATACAATTGAGTAGAAAGTAATGAATAAGAAAAAGATAACTATAAACTAACTCAAATTTATAAATTACTAGGTATGGATCCGTGCGTTGCACGGATTTCATTTGATGTTTTAATTTTATTAAAAACATAAAAATGAGTAGAAAAATCTGAAAATTGTTGACAATATATGCACTATATAGAATTTATCTACCTTAAAAGAAAATGTAGTGAATAAAATTACATCTCTATATTTAGAGACAAGATAGCCTTACTCTATATTTCTATAAATAAAATAAAAACTCTATTACAAAATCATACAGTGAAGCAAATCTACTTTTATAATACAATTTCACTATTTCAAAAGAAAATATACTAATGAATCTATAGGTGAATTGGAATTTATCTTGTTTGTTTAACTAAGGGAAAACATTGGATCAACATTTTTATCATGTAATTTATAGATAATGAAACTATTGATACATTATGCATTTCAATACTAGTTTAATTCTTATAGGCACAAACATGTATGTTGTGAAGACCATATTTTTGAATCTTTATTCTCTAAATAACTATTTGTGAATATAACTTACTAATTAAAGTTTTATGGCGACCAAAGCTATGATAAATAATAAATAATAGATAATAAATAATAAATAATAAATAATAAATAATAAATAATAAATAATAAATAATAAATAATAAATAATAAATAATAAATAATAAATAATAAATAATAAATAATAAATAATAAATAATAAATAATAAATAATAAATAATAAATAATAAATAATAAATAATAAATAATAAATAATAATAATAATAATAAATAAGAAATAATAAATAATAAATAATAAATAATAAATAATAAATAATAAATAAGAAATAATAAATAATAAATAATAAATAATAAATAATAAATAATAAATAATAAATAATAAATAATAAATAATAAATAATAAATAATAAATAATAAATAATAAATAATAAATAATAAATAATAAATAATAAATAATAAATAATAAATAATAAATAATAAATAATAAATAATAAATAATAAATAATAAATAATAAATAATAAATAATAAATAATAAATAATAAATAATAAATAATAAATAGTAAATAATAAATAATAAATAATAAAAAATAAATTGTATTAGTGTATGTTGTAATAAAGTTGAAAATACAATCATTAAGAAGTTATTGTAACTTAATTTCTAATATACGAATTTCTATATAGATATATATTGGATTTTTATTTTTCTTTATAATATTTTCAATTTTGATTCATATTTATAGTAATAACATTTTCAAGAATAAGAAATATCTTTCTAACCTAAATTATACTTTTTGCATAAAAACAAATTAATTACATAATCATAAGTATATATAATATTTTTAATAATGTACATCTATTGATATTAAAATAATATAAAATAAGGAAAATACAACATTCATATATTATTAATTTTAAAATTGTCGCTTATTTTTCTAAAATTTTTGCTAATTTTTGAAAATTATCGCTTATTAATAATTTCATGTTTACAAGTAAAATCACTATTAGATATTTATAAGAAAAATCAAATGTGTAGTTATTTAAAGGAAATTATTTATCTTAAACAAATGCCTACTGAC